GTAGGACTCTATTTTGTATGCAAATACAAGAGTCCCACTCTGACAGGAAATCCGAGTGCAGCCCTCTGCTGCTCCTGGAGCTTCCCTAAGCCTACATCTCTTCCTTGATGTCTAGACAACAGGATGGTGACCATTTACAAGACAACTTCCTCCCTTTTCTCATACAAGACTACACAGTTCTAAAGCACGCAGTCCTCTCTCTCTCTCTCTCTCTCTCTCTCTCTCTCTCTCTCTCTCTGTGTGTGTGTGTGTGTGTGTGTGTGTGTGTTAGAATGTCTTCCCATTTCTTTGCTCAACCTATAAGAAAGCAAGCAACACACTAGCTCAAGTACACAAGCCCTAAATAAAAGAAGGAAATTTACCCAGTGCTTTTTTTTTTTTCCGGTCTTGGATGGGACAAACCTCATATCAGTATCTCTAAAATCAAATGTTCTGAAAATGGTGGATAAAACTGGTAGAAAACTGGCTGCAAGCTCCCTTGCCCTTACTCTGGCACATAATTTCCCAAAGCCAGGCTAGTCCGACTAAATTCTATGTAAATCTGTAAAAAAAAAAAAAAAAACCCAATAAAACAAACAAACAACAACAACAAAAACCCAACAACCTGTGGTCCTGATTGCCAGCCACCTGGATTTGTGAATATTTTCCCTTTTCCTGCAACTTTTGCACCTATTTCCTTCCTGAAAACTAGCTTGGAGATCCCAATTCTCTTCCCTTATTTCCCTCCAAGAGGCTCTTTTATTTTTAAATTATGTGTATATGTGCATCTGTAAGTGGTTGTATGTGAATGCAAGTGCCACTGAAGGCCAGGAGAGGATGCAGAATGCACTGGAGCTGGAGTTACAGGTGGTTGTGAGCCACTTGACATGGTGCTGGGAACTGACCTCTGCAAGAGCCACTGTGAGCCACTTCTCCAGCCCACCTCTAGGACTATCTTTGCTCTTGTTGCTGGTTGCTTTCCCTTGGCTCCTCTACCTCAGACAAGCACAAATGTTGACTGATGTAATGATTTCTGCTAAGTGATTGGTAGCAACATAAGTAGCAACTGGCACAGAAAGGTTCTCACTGTTGGGGTTTAGAGTTCTAAATTTGTTCAAGTGATATAATAATTAGAGACAGACAAATCCAGAAATGTCAGTTGAGGCATCAAGGCGTCAATGGGTACATTTTCGTGGTAATTACCTGAGAAGGTTGCAATGCCACCACCACCCCCTTTTGTCTTTCTTCTTCTACTAGGAGATTTCAGAGAATGGAGAGACAGTGCTCCTCAGGAAACCTCATTTTTTTAGTTTTGCCCAATACTTTTAAACCTAGACTCTGAACCCAAATGATTTCATAATTCATGCTACTTCTCAGTCTAGGCCAATACTTCTGAGTTAATGGTGCTCAGACATCCATCCACGATTGCCCTGTGCCCTGGGAATCCAAAACATATCCTATCTCAGCTGGCTGTCTTCTAGAAGCAGGCTATCTACAATCCCCAAAGCAGAAGCACTTTTATGTATAACCATCTGATGCATGCTCCTCATTAGGACCTAGGCTTCTCTGCCCTCTTGTTATGAGCCTAAACTTTAACCACTGAGCCATCTCCCCTGCCGAGACCCAGTCTTCTGAAATATATGAGCTGATCATAGGCCTAGGGCCTCAGAGTTGGGTCTTCAGCTTATCTCATGGTTTAGATGCTTTTGTCTTTCAAGTTTAAGAATATATCACGATCCACCTGGTCGTGATGCACAGTCCTTCCCATACCGATGCACTCTGTCAGACTTTTTTGTTTGAGACAAGGTTTCATAGTGTGTCTCAGGCTGACTTCAAACTAGGATCCTCCTGCTTCAGCCTCCTGGGTGCTGGTACTACAGACGTGTTCTACCACATCTGTTTTTTTGTTTTGTTTTGTTTTGGTTTTTAATACAAGGTCGGTCTTCTGTGTCCCAAATTGCCTTGAACTTTTTTTCACAGAAATGGCTGCTTGGTCAATAAGTTTATTATCTTTATGAAAAAATCTTCATAGAAAATTGCTTTAGCTCTCAGCAGCCCGTTCTTGAGCTCTGAGGAAGCTTGCCTTCTTTTGAGCAACCCGATCTTTCTTCTGGGCCAAAGACATTTTGGGACGGTCCCACCTCTTCTTCTTCACCTTTCTTTTGGGCTTCTTCTCATAGACTGGATTCTCTCGGATAGCAGCGTGAGCTTTCTTATACATCTCCTCCATGTCTGGAGTAACGTTGTTCTTTATGTACTGGGAGAACTGTTTCTTGTACGCATCTTCATCTTCCTCCGTTAGGTAGCGCATGGAGTCTGCGACATTCTGTCCCATGATATGCTTCCGATGAACTTCTGCATTGAACTCCTTGCTTTCAGAATCATAACCAGGGAATCGTTTGGTACTATGAGGAATAGACAAGCCTCCATCCACAGCTCCCTTCAGGGCCCCAAAAACTTTATTGCCAGTTGTAGTTCGGGCAAGACCTGCATCCAAATAGCAGGTGAAGGCACCAGGCTGGCCATCGATGCTCTCAACATTGTATTCGTCTCCAATCACCTCCGCTTGGCCTTCATAGATCTTGTCCATACCAAACCTATTGAGAAGCCTGCGGGCCAGCAGCAGGCCGGTGCAATAGGCTGCAGCATAATTTGTCAGGCCAACTTTGACCCCGTATTTTGGCAGTTCGTGTGCATATGCTGTGCAGACTATCATGTCCCCTTCTATACGGGCATAGGCAATCTGACAGATGATATCTCTGTTAGTTACACGAACTATCATCCTGTATTTGGGTGTGTTGTACTTAATTTTGTCCTGGATCACCAATCGTTTCCGAGCATAGTAGTCAGTTTTACCCTCTCGCCGCCTTCTAAATCTCACTTGGTACCTCTTGAAGTAGGCCTTATTCTTGACAACTTTCACGAACCCCATCCTGCGGAACAGACACCCGCAACCGCGGCTCCACACAGACCTGCGGCCCGGCGGCGCTAGGGGAGAAAAGCTGCCTTGAACTTCTGATTCTGCCATTTCCTCTCTAGTGCTGACATAAACATGTGCATCACTACGCCTGGCTTATCCTTTGATCTGTTTTGAAATCAGCAATGGGTAACATCATCAGCTTTAGTAGCTAGAGCCAGGTGCTAGGACACAGGGGCTATCAGCTTCCTATCCCTTTTTGGTAGTGTTATTCTTTTTCTCCTATTTGTAATAATAATAATAATTTGCCAGATACACAGGCATGGAGACCTAGTTAGAAATATTGGAGACTTTATGACATGCCTAATACAGACTCTACACTACTAATTTACAATGTCAAGTTACAAAGAAATGATTTTTGTTCTGCCATGTTAGTCTGTAGTACTGGCTGGCATTTATTAAATACCAGACAAATTGTAAGTAGTTTATAAGCATTATCTTCTTGTATCTGTCAGCAATGTTACGCTAATCTTTTTAACCATTATGCTGTTCCCCCTCCTAAATCAGATGATGATGTTCAAATATCTAGACAGCTATCATCTTCTTGCTAGTTATGGAGGTGGGGGTAGAGCACAATGCTATCTTTAGGTTCTCTATTTGTAACTGGTATTACAAATGGCACAAGCCCTTAAGGTTCCGTTAATCTGGTCGTTTTCAAATATATGCTTTTTTAGGTCACAAAATATAAATCAGAAATGTTTTGGTTGGAGAAGGGCAATACGGCCTTCCCTGCTGTGCCTCCCTTCCCTTTCCAGTGCCTCAGAGAAGGTCCCAGAGGCAGCCACACAATGAGTCTTAAGGCTGCCTCAACTACCAATCAAATCTAACCTTCTCAATTTTTAGAAAACTGAAATTGAAGCAGAAGAAAGTTGGTCAGAGCCACACAATGATTTGAGACAAACTCTCAACTACATCCTGTATCTAACTTCTGAGCCAGTGTTTTTCCCCACAGAGAAGCCTTGTCCTGGTGTTCCAAGTGGTCATGAAGTCAGTATGCCAGAGCTATGACAGCAGGGAGGTTAGAGCCACATGTCATATGGAGCTCTTACCCTTCTGTTTGGCTTCAGGGCTATGCATCCCCATGTCTACCCCACTTTCCCTACAGCCTAAGTAACTGGTGATTGACAACATAATTGATTTAGTTTTTTTAAATAAGATATAATTTAATTTCAGGTATTTTTTTATTATGTAGGTAATTTTCTGAAATTCTGATCATTCTGCCCTTTTGTAGACCTGATTTTTGGCTTGGTGATTAGACTAGGTTAGGTGATCCCAACCTCATCATCTTCCTCTGTGGATGAGTAAGGGATTGAGGAGACCAGATTCCCTGTGAATCATGCGAAAGTAGTGCTTTGATTCATTGCTAGACTCCATGGAAAACAGGGTGAGGAACAGAAGGAATAAGACCTCATTTCCTCTTTACAAATCTCTTAGGGCTTGCCCTTCAGAAAAGAAAACAGACCAAAGAAAGGTCTGGGAAGGAGGGAGAAGAAAGAGCCTCAGAGGCTCATGAGTATAATGTGATTTAGTAAAAACAAGGGATGGCAATGACAAGGGCTCTGATGGCGGTTCCAAATTTACACCCCCCCCCCATAAGGATGCCTAAGGAGCTTAGACAGGAGGAACCCACCCAAGCTACTGTCTTACTATTACATTAAATTCGCCTCTATTTTCATTTGTTTGCGGCCATTAAACTTCCCAGTTGAGTTTAGCCTTCCCCAAGCCATCTTTCTATCTCCATAGATTTTGCAGAGTAGGCACTGGTAGATACTTAAGAGGGGACATTCCTGAGGGTGTGAACGTCACCAGTTGGCTTACAATGTGCCAAGCCATTGTGCCGAAGGACCTTTGTAGGTTCTCAGGATCAGGCAGGACAGAAGTCACTATCCCCAGCTACAGATGAGTCTGCGTCAGAGGCAGTAGCCACGCAGAAACCAGCCGACTAAATCCTACAGGCCTCTCTCTGGGGACCCGGCCTCTTCACACCTCTGCATCTCTGCGTCTCCCGCGCAGGCCGCACCGGGACTTGTAGTCGCGTAGCACCGCAGCCTACACGGACTAAACTACAATGACCAGCATGCCCTGCGCTCCGCGCCCCCTCTTTTTCAGCCTCCCGGACTTGCGAGGCTCCACCGACCTGCTGACTGAAAACCGATATGGCGGCCACTCTGGGCAGCGGGGAGCGCTGGACCCAAGGTACCAGGTCCCGGACTGGAGGGTGGGACAAGTTGGCATTCCGAAGAGATCAGGGATGCGGCTTCTCGGATCTTAAGGTCAAGATCCTGGGCCAGATGGAGGCTTGTCGGGAGATGCTAAGCCTGGGTAGGGTTCGGGTTGCGCTGGAGGATGGCCCAGGGCCGAGGCCGGGAAACGCTGGCTCCGGCTGAAGTCGTGGTCCAGAGCTCAGTCACCGGCTACGACTAGTTGCCTCAGAGCCCCCAGCCCCGCCCCGGCCCATGCCCCATGCAGAGCCCGCGGCTGCCCGGCCAGTCTTGACCTCCTGTGATTCGAGGACTCTTAGGATGCTGAGTTCTGTACTTACCTGCCCTTTACTGATAACTCCTCCACATTAGGCCACCTGACTCTCAGTCCCGGTTTGGTCTTGTCCCCAAGGTCTCATCAGGGCCAGTAAGCTGTCTGTCCTTTTCCACCCTACGGTCAGGCAGAAAGTTTTGATCCAATACCTATCATATGTCCTGCATTATACTGAATCTGCAGGGGTAATTTGACAGACGCGGGTCCCTGAGCTCACAGAACTCAGTCCACTGAGAGAGTTTGGCCGATTAGCAGCCTTTTACAAAACACAGCCAGTAAGTTCCTGGGTTACCACAGCAAGGTTGGGGGTTTGGGTTGCACACTGACAAGTCACCCAACACAGCCTGTCGAGAGAAACTTGTGGAGAAAACGTTACATGTAAAGATACGAAGGATGCCTTAAAGGAAGATTGCCGAGGCAGTGTCACTGAAGGGTCTTAAGTAGGAGAGAAAGATGTTCTTAAAGCCTTTTCCGGTCTTCTGGCAAGACAGGAGTGCTGTGTCCTCCCTGGATTGCTCTGTACATTTTGTAGGCGTCAGGACTTATTGAATCCTCTTGCACTAAACTAGAATCTTTTTGTGGGTAGGAATTGGTCTCACCCATACAAGCCCTGATATGTCTAGCCCAGTGTATTGGTTCATATTAGTTCTGCAAGTGTTCGTTTAATTTTTTAAAAAGATTTATTTTGTCTTTAATTGTGTGTGTGTGTGGGGGGGGGCAGAGGGGTAATATGTGCCTGGGAATTCCCGTGCCTTCAGAGGCCAGAGGCATCAGATCCACCTGGAGCTGGAGTTAGAAGAGGTTTGAGCTGCCATATGGGTGCTGGAAACCAAATTCAGATCCTCTACAAGAGCAGTCTTCACTCCTAACGGCTGAGCCGTCGCTCCAACTCCTACAAATGCTTATTTAAAAGAATTAAACAATTCCATTCTGTTTTGTTTGTTTTATTGTACTTTTTGTTTGTTTTTGAGACAGGTTCTGTTTATGCTTTAAATGTTAAGGGTAGGGGCATTGCAAGCAAAGTATTGTTTTATGAGGAATGTCACCTCTGACGTTGCAGCACAAAGAGATAAGCCTCTCTCTACACTGCACTAAAGGCAAGGTATTGGGTGGAGATGCCTCACAAGCCCTCTTGTATCTAAGTTAAGAGCATTTGTTGAATGAGTACTGTTAAGTATGGTGAAAATTTTGGGCTTTGTGTTTCTGGCATTTAAATTTTTTTCTTGGTTGCATCCTGTATTTTCTGTATAGTATTTGAGGGAAGATGTTTGCTTGAGTTTTGAATGGAAATTTTGAAGTCTCGGGTATCTCTGGTCATTTAAACATTTCTTCACTCTTATCTACATACTGCCCCCAACAGAGCTAAGGCAAACAGCAAAATTTTAGAGCTGGGCATCGTTGCATAAGTTGTAATTCCAACTCTAGAGAAGCCAAGGCAGAAGGTTCATGAATTTGAGGCCAGTCATAGTGAAACCTTGTCTCAGAAAAAGTAAACCAAGGTCTAAATTGGCTTGAACTGGTGGTTGATTTGGCTGTTGTTTTGCAGCTTACATTGATGCAATTAGAAGAAACAAATACCCAGAAGACAGACAACCTGGCAGCCATGATCCCTGTGGTTGCTGTAACTGCATGAAAGCACAAAAGGAAAAAAAGTCTGAGAATGAGTGGAATCAGACCCGGCAGGGAGAGGGGAGTTCCACTTATACAGAGGAACAGCTACTAGGGGTTCAAAGGTAAGCCTGTAATACAGTGGTTCTCAACTTTCCTAATGCTGTGACCCTTTAATACAGTCCCTCATGTTATGGTGATCCCAACCATAAAATTATTTTGTTGCTACTTCATAACTGTAATTTTGCTACTGTTATGAATCATAATGTAAGTATCTGACATGCAGGTTATCTGATATTCGACCCCGTGAAATGATCTTTCAAAGCCCCAAAGGGGTCAGGACCCACAGGTTGAGAATTGCTTTCATAGGATTAAATATGCAAAAAGTGCTTACAAGAGTGTTTGTCTCAGAATGGGCTATATAACATCACCATTTTCCTTTAGATTTATTTTTTATTTTATGTGTGTAGATGCTTTCCCTGCATGTATGTCTGTATACCATGTTTGTTCAGTGCTCTAGGAGGCTTAGAGCTTTGGACACTGAAACTGGAGTTACAGGTAGGCAGTTTTGAGCCTACATGTGTGTGGTAGGAACCAAAACCAGGTCCTTTGGAAGAGCAGCCAGGGCTCTTAACTACTGATTCATCCCTATAGCCCCCATTTTCTTATTATTGAAAGACACTATCTTCTTAACTTCCAATGAAAGACTGGGTGAGAATGGAGTGTTAGAATATAATGTGAGTTGTACTATGCGCTTTAAGAGAAGTAGGGAAAACAAAGCACAAAAGCAAGGCCTGGGCATGTAACTCAGCAGCAAAGAGCTTTGTCTCACATGCACGAGGCCCTAGGTTTGATCTCCAGTACATTAAAAAAAATAAAAAAAGATGTCTCTTAAGCAGGTGTGATCCAGGTTTGTGATCCTGACTACTCAGGAGACTAAGAGCAGAGCATTTGCAAGGTTAAGGCCAGTCTGGATACAAAGTGAGTTCAAGGCCATACTGGGCAGCTAGGGAGACCCAGTCTCAAAATAAGATAGTAAAAAGAGGGCTGAGATATAGTTCCTGCCTAGCATTGGAAGACCCTGGGTCTAATACCCAGAACCATTTAAAAGAAAGGAAGGGAGGAAGAAAGAAAGAAAGAAAGAAAGAAAGAAAGAAAGAAAGAAAGAAAGAAGGAAGGAAGGAAGTAGAAGGTAGGCATGGTGGCATAAGCCTGTTGTCAAAGAACTTAAGTTGAAGCAGGAATATCTGCAGTTTGAGACCCTTGGCCAAAAAAAAACAAAAAACCCTACATAAGAAGGGTAAAGGAAACAATACAAGAGTAGCTATAAATAAAATAGAAAATAGTAAAACAATAGAGAAAAACCAATAAAATCATAAATTGAATCTTTAAAATGACAAGAAAATTGATGAACGTTTAACTATACTGCCCAGGGCAACAAACAATATTCAAATGACTAAAATCAGGAATGAGGCATGCCTGGTTGTGCAAACCGGTAATCCTAGCACTCTGGAACAGGAGGAATAGGCAACTTCCAGGGTAACCAGAGCTACATAGGGGGCTGTCTGTTCCTCAGCACGCAGACATACACAAAGTCAGGTCTGAAAAGAGAGGACATCATTACCTTTCTTGATTTTTATTTTTATGTGTCTGTGTATGCACAGCACATGAGACACCACAGACACCTGAAGAGGGCATCAGATACCCTGGAGATGGAGTTATAGGCAGCTGTGAGTCACCTGACGTGTGGGTGCTGAGAGCTTGAGACCAGCCAGACCTGCAAGAGCTATAGACTGAGAGATCCTCTCTCTTTGTTGTTGTTTGTTTGAGACAGGGTCTTTCAATGTGTTGGGATTAAAGGCTTATACCACCATGCCCTAGGAGACTTTTTTTTTATTTCAAGACAGGGTTTCTCTGTTTAGCCCTGGACGTCCTGGCACTCCACTCCAGGCTGGCTTCAAACTCAGAGATTTACCTACTCCTGCCTCCTGAGGGCTGGGATTATGCAGTGGCACATAACTACATGGAAAGACACTGTCTCAAAACAAAACAAACCACTCCCCATCTCCCTGAAGGGAAACCACTTATACAGTTTTCAAAGACAGCCGTAAGGGCAGATGTGAGAGCATACACCTATAGTCTGTCTCAGCATGTGGGGAAGGGAGGCAGAAGGACGAAGACTTCAAGAGCAGCCTCAGCTACGTAGTGAGCTCTGGTAGCCTGGGCTGCTGGAGATGCTATCTCAAGAAAACAAAATGAGGTAATTAGCTAATTCTTCTAGCTTTGCTGTACTTTGATTAACTCTCAGAATCTTACCCTGAACTTTGACATGAAGGCTAACATGCTTCTTCTGCCCACTTATATGAATATAGGCTGCAGAGAAGAGAACACCCAGAGAGGCAATGCCAAGTACTGAGGTCTGGGAAGGGAGATTTGAATGTGTCATCAATGGCTTCACTACTTCCTTAGGCTTGCTTTGGGGTTCACAGGTCAGAGGGATGTATTGTTTGGCTATTAGTTATACAAATAGAGTCTCTGTAGATACACATATTTTTAATTTTTTTCTTTAAGAATCAAGAAGTGCAGAAATTACTATGAAATTCTGGGTGTTTCTCAAAATGCCAGTGATGAAGAGCTTAAGAAAGCTTACAGGAAGCTCGCCCTGAAGTTTCACCCTGATAAGAACTGCGCTCCTGGAGCAACAGACGCCTTCAAAGGTTTGTCCTTGAACCCATGCCATCTGCCCTTGTAGTGTTGGTGGTAACAAATTTGTTTGTTTTAAAATATTATATTTATCTTAGCAGGGGGCACATGCATGGAGATCAGAGAACAACTTTTGAGAATCAGTTTTCTCTTTCCATTCTGTGTGTCCCAGGTCATCAGGCTTGGCAGCAAGTACCTCTTTTTTTTCTTTTTTTTCTTTTTCTTTTTGGTTTTCCAAGACAGGGTTTCTCTGTATTGCTTTGGAGGTTGTCCTGGAACTGCTCTGTAGACCAGGCTGGCCTCAAACTCACAGAGTTCCGCCTGCCTCTGCCTCCCAATTGCTGGGATTAAAGGCATGAGCCACCAATGCCAGGCCAGCAAGCACCTGTTACCCTCTGTCTCAGTCAGGGTTCTATTGCTGTGAAGAGGCACCATGACCACCGCAACTATTATAAAGGAAAACATTTAATTGGGGTGGCCCGCTTACAGTTTCAGAAATTTGATCCATTACCATCACAGCAGGGGTAGCGGCAGCATGCAGGCAGACATGGGGCTGGCTACATCTTGATCAAAATGTAACAGGAAGTGACATGAGACACTGGGTGGTATCTTGAGCATATATGAGACCTCAGAGCCACCTGCACAGTGACAAACTTCCTCCCACAAGACCAACAAAGCTATTTCAAGAAAGCTACAACTCGTAATAGTGCCACTTCCTTTGGGGGCCATTTTCTTTCAAACCACCACATTCCACTCCCTGTCCCCCAAAGGCTTGTAGCCAAATCATAATGGAAAAATGCATTCAGCCCAACTTTAAAAGTCCCCATAGTTTATAACAGTCCCAACCTTATTTAAGTCTACCGTTTGCTGGACAGTGGTAGTTCATGCCAGGCAGTCAGCTTCACTTTCACATCTTCATAGAATGGCCTCTCAGGCCTCCACTCAGGGCCACCCCTGACTCATGCCTGGCCTCTCGGCTTTCCTTGGTCTCAGAGGCAAATCCCATAACTCCTTTTTTCTATTCTTAAACCCTAAAGCCAGAACCACATGGCTGAAGCTATCAAGTTCTGTTGCTTGCTGGGGCTGGAATATGGACCCTTTGTTCAATACATCTTTTCCAGCTTTCTGTTTTTGATTGTTACCTTCACTGCCTAAGCTGGGCTGTCCTTGAATTTGCTCTGCCTCTGCCTCCCAAGTGCTGGGATTAAAGGTATACACCACCATGCCCACCTTGATA